CCCGCCCCGGCGGGTCCCACCTCGAGTGACCCTGGGGCGGGGCCAGAGCCTTCATTGCCCAGCGTCTTTCTAAACAGCATGAATTAGGTCGCACCTGTTTATCTGGCACATCCTGGCGTCCGCAACTTCAGGCCACCCCGCGGAGACCCCGCACTCAGAGAGGTCCCGCCCATTGTAGGTGCTGGTCCTGCTGCAGCAAGCACGTCTGGAGGTGTACCCCATGCTCTGGCGCGTCTACGCCACGATGACATTGTGACATCATGACGTCCCTTTCCTGGCTCTGCGTGTGACTTCCTGCCATGAGACACAACGGCACAGATGCTCTCGTCACATGGCTGTGCAGGGGTGGGCCCCAGAGAACAAAAAGGGATTAGTATCCAGGATATAGAGAACCCGTAAAACTCAACTGAAAAAAAAAAAAAAAATTCAGAAATGGGCAAAGGACTTGAATAGTCCTTTCCACAAAGAAGATACACAAATGGTCAATAAGCTCATGGACAAATGCTCCACATGCTAATCGTTAGGGAAATGCAGATGAGAACCACAGTGAGATACCCCCCGACACGCATTAGGGTGGCTACTAACGACAACAACAACAGAAAACAACAGGTGCTGGTGAGGGTGTGGAGAATTTGGAACACTCGTGCACTGTTGGCGGGAATGTAAAATGGTACAGCCGCTACGGAGAACAACATGGAGGTTCATCAAGTATACTTACCATGTGATCCGGCAATCCCCCTTCTGGGTACATACCCAGAGGAATTGAAACCAGGGTCTCAAAGACATACTTGTACGCCCACGTTCATCGCACCACTATTCACAACGGCTAAAACATGGAACAAACCCAGCTATCCACTACAGATGAATGGATAAAGAAAAGGTGGCGTATATACCTGATATATACTGTTTGATAGATGCTAGAGCATGGATGAACCTTAAGGATGTTATGCTAAATGAAATAAAACAAATACTGTACAATTCCACTTATAGGAGGTACTGTGAGTGGTCAAAATCAGAGAGACAGAAAATATAACGGTGGTCACCTGGAGCGGGGGGTGGAATGGGTGCTGAAATTCGGGCCTCAGAGGTCAGACCTGGGGAGAAAACTTGGGTTGATTGTGCGGAAACAGCCTGGGCGGTAGGGCTGCAATCTGGTGCGACTGCAACTGAAGGGTGTACGCAGAGGAAGCCTGGGTGGCCTTGGAGGCCCGGCACCATTGTTTGTGGGGGGGGGGGGTGCCTGAGACGGGGAGCGGGACCTGCAATCGTAGCCTTTTCCCCTGCGTGTGTGATCGCCAGCTACACGGGCTCCAGGAGGCGTCGCGAGCCACCTCCACTCCCGTCGCATACTCCGGGGGTGTGCCTAAGCTGCCACCACCATCGAGAAACCCAGGACTGGTCACCAGCCGCCACAACTGCACACCCCTAGCAAGGGGAGTAACAACCAGCGCACACTGAGGAAACAGCTGACAGGCATCCACAGTAAAAGCAGCCCTGGTACCAAATATATTAAACCCACAAGAGCTACACAGGGATGCCCCCACGTGTAAACAGCCCTCCAAAACCACAGTTGATAATTGTTTCTCCTAAACACACAGAGTTAAGAGAATTAAGAGGAACCACTCCCAGTTAAAAGAGCAAGAGAATTCTGCTGAAAGAGACAATAACACAGACCTCTTCACTCCAATAGACACTGAGTTCAAAAAGGAAATTAAGGAATTAAGAAAGGCTATCAGGGACTTCCCTGGTGGCGCAGTGGTTAAGAATCCGCCTGCCAGTGCAGGGGACACAGGTTCCATTCCTGGTCTGGGAGGATCCCACATGCCGCGGAGCAACTGGGCCCGTGAGCCACAACCCAGCCTGCGCATCTGGAGCCTGTGCTCCGCCACAAGAGAGGCCGCGATAGTGAGAGGCCCGCGCACCGCGATGAAGAGTGGCCCCCGCTCGCCACAACTAGAGGAAGCCCTCGCACAGAGACGAAGACCCAACACAGCAAAAATAAATTACTTAATAAACTCCTACCCCCAACATCTTCAAAAAAAAAAAAATGGCAAAAGTTAAAGATTAAGAGAGGATTCTAAAGGCAGCAAGAGAAAAACAAAGAGTTAGTGACAAGGGAACCCCCATTAGGCTATCAGCTGATTTCTCTACAGAAACGCTGTGGGCCAGAAGGGAGTGGCAAGACAGTCAAAGTCCTGGAAGGGAAAAATCTGCAACCTAGGACATTCTACCCAGCAAGATTATCATTTAGAATAAAGGAGAGAGAAAGAATTTCTCAGACAAGCAGCAACTAAAAGAAAACAGCAATACTAAACCTATCCTAAAGGAAATACTGAAAGGTCTTCCCTAAATAGAACAGAACTGAGAATCTACAGGAAAGAGAAAAGTCACAATTGGAAAACAAATCACTTAAATAAGCCAGTACATACAGTTTTTAAAAATCAAAAAATTTCTGTGACACTGAATGATAACCAGAACGAACAGCAAAAGGATGAACGTGAAGATGTAAAAAGGGACACGTCAAAATCATAAAACGTGGGGGCAGGAGAGTAAGGAAATGTAGACTTTTTCTTCATTTCCTAGAATGTGTTTGAGCCTATATGACTACCAGTCTAGGGCAAGCAGATATAGGAAGGGGTTAACATACTTGAAAACCAGGGCACAAATCCAAAACATACAATAGACTCACAAAAACCAAAAAGAAGAGGACACAAGTATAATTCAAGAGAAAATCACTGGGGAATTCCCTGGCGGTCCAGTGCTTAGGACGCCGAGCTCTCACTGCCAAGGGCCCGGGTTCAGTCCCTGGTAGGGGAACTAAGATCCCTCAAGCCGCATGGCATGGCCAAAAAAAAAAAAAAAAAAAAAAAAAAATCATCAAATCACAAAAGAAGAAACAAAAAGTTGTCAATAATTACCTTAAAATGTCAATGGACTAAAAGCTCCAATCAAAAGACAGAGAGTGGCAGAATGAATTTAAAAAAAAAAAAAAAGCCTACGATATGCTGCCTACAGGAGACCCACTTTAGGGCAAAGGACACACACAGATTGAAAGTAAGGGGATGGAAAAAGATATTTCATGCAAACAAATGACAAGAAAGTGGGGGTCGCAATACTCATATCAGACAAAATAGACTTCAAAACAAAAGCCGTAAAGAAAGATAAAGAAGGACGCTATATCCTAATAAAGGATGAACACAAGGAGAGGATATTACACTCGTCAACATATATG